GGGGGCGCGCGCGGTTCGTGGTGACGTCGTCGAGCGGCGGCGGTGGCGCCGACGGTGCGAACGATGGTGTTCGACGGAAAGCGCACGCGAGACGCGCGCGAGACGACGACGACGACGACGACGACGGCGAACGGTGGACGGATGATCGACGCGAAGCGGGCGAGGAAGGCGTTCATGAGCGCCGAGGCGTCGAAGGTGTTCGCGGAGGACGTGGAGCGGAAGCGGGAGATGAACGACGACGAGGGCGCCGACGGCGGGATGTCGGCCGAGCGACTTCGAGCGTTCAGAGAGGAGGTTCGTCGATTCGGCGCCGCGGGTCTGTCGAAGTGGGACAGACAAGAGCTCGAGACCGAAAGATTGATCGAGCTCGGGATGAAGCCGAAGAAGGCGCCGAGGATGGCGCCGTCGTTGGGGTTAGGATTGAACAAGGCGAACGAAAAGCGCGAGGAGGCGAAGCGGCAAGAAATGTTTGCGCTCGGATACAAACTGGAGAAGAAGTCGAAGAAGGGTAACGATGGCGCTAAGGATCGCGATCGTGGTCTCGCCTGGGGTGACTCTACTTTTAGCAACGGCGTGCTCAAGGTGAAAAAGAGGGACATGGTGAACGCGGATAAGTTTGTGGACACAAAGGCAATGCTGCGATCCGGCCCGAGCGGTCGCGGTGGGTCGTCTGGCGGGAAGAAGAAGAGTGGAAAGAAGAAGGCTGGTCGTAAATCCAAGCGATAGAGAACGCGTGTAATACATCTGTCGCTAGTAGCGTCATCGAATTCGATTGACAAAGAATAACTTTCTACTAGAGCGCCGATCCGGCGCGTCGAATCGCCGCTGCTCGATCCGGCGATACCTCCGCGAGCGCGCCGCGCACGCGCTCGTCCTTGGACGCGCCTTGCGACAGGGCGATGGCTATGATTCGAAGCGTGTCACTCGGTGCGAGTTCCTCCGCGACTACGTCCGCGAACGCGCGAACGACGCGCGACGCCACATCTCCCTCAAGCGACGACGGATTTTCTCCCAACGTGGACGCGAGCCAGTGGTACACGTCGGGACCCTCCTCAAGGTCGTGACGAAGCGGAAGCGCGCCGAGGACGACATTTAATAGCTCCGATGCGTGATCGCGCGCGGGACCGTCGATTACCTGGAGTAAGCGTGCGATAGCGCCGACCGCGTTATCGCGGACGCCCCCGTCGGATTCGTCACCCTCGCGCGTCAGCGGCGCGAGCGTCTGCGCCGCGGTGACGTGGAACGGCGCGCCGTGCTCGGCGCCGAGCTGAAGCAGCACGCCTGTGCAGTACACACTGTTTCTGCGCAAACCCACATCCGCGCTCTTGCAATCTCGCAAGCATCTGGGAAGAGCGACGCCGGCGCATCCCGCAGCCGGAGCGCCTACGGCGCGTACCACCTCCACGAGCGTCGCATAACAGAGCGATCGCTCGGTCTCGGTGTTGTTTTCCCCCGTGCGTTTCATCAACGCATTGAAATGCGGAACGAAGTGCGTCGCGAACGCGGCTCCCATGTACACGGCCAGAGCGGGTAAGAGTTCCGCGATGGCCTCAATGACGACCAATCCTGACTCCGTATCTTCGTCTTCGTCCTCGTCGACCTCTTCATCGCCCTCTTCGCTGTCGTATCCATCCTCCACTTGGCACAGCGCTCTGCCCTCCAATATTTCTAAGCTCGCCGCCGTGAGATCGACGACGTGCTGCGAGACGTCCAAACTCGGATGATCCTTGAGAATTTTGATCAGCCACGCCGCCGCTTCCACGCTCGCCGCCACGGCATCTCGATCTTCGTCCTCTAATACCGCACGAATCGAAGCGCGTAGAGACTCGTCGATGATGTCTTTCGCACCCGCCGGATCGAGAGCTACAGCCGCGAGTGCCGTCTGCGCGAGCGCCAAGTGCGCCTGCACACGCACCATCTCGTGCATGTAATCCGTGACATCCGTGAGAAGAGCTGACGCCTTAGCGATGTACGGAGCGAACGCCCGCGGACAGTGGGACGCGTAGCAGTTCAGCGCTTTACACGCAGATGACTTTTCTTCCATCACGCCCGAACGGATGGAGTAACCCGAGGGCTTTCTTGACATATCCTCCTCCTCCTCGTCCGAATCGAGTTCGTTTCGGTCCGCCTCGTCCTCGCTGTCGAACATGATCCCGTCATCCAGCTCGAGCGACTCGAACGCCTTACCCACGCACACGGCGAGATACGGTGCAAAGTCTTCCTTCAACCCCTCCGCGACTTCGCCGAACAGGCCGTGCGCGTACTCTCTCAGTTCCGCGAAATCCAGCTCGAAACCGGCGAGACCGGCTTGCATGGCGCTGTCCACATGCGGACCCATGGCCTCTTTCCCACCCTCCGCAGAGATGAGCATACCAAGCACCTCCAACGCGCGCGCGCGAATGTTCAAATCCTCATCCGCCGTCAGCTTGAGGCAGACGTCGAGTCTGGGTAAGAGCTCGGTCAGGTACGGGTGCACCTTGTCGCCGCTCGAAGCAGTCGCCGAGGCGAGCGCCGAGAGCAACATCTCGCGCACGTGTTGCTTGGCGCCGTTATCGATGGCCATGAACACGATATCTAGCAGAGGTTTGACGTACACCCCGACCTCGTCGTGAACCTCCTCCAACCACGAGTCCATGGCGTACATCATCCGTTCCTGCACGCTCTTCACCTGCTCACCGGGGAGAGCGTTGAACAGACTCGGTAACACTTGCTTATGCATGTCCGGATCGTCTATCGACAGAGCGAGGTGTTCGGCAAATTGCCCGAGGGTAAATGCCGCGGCGCCTCGCACGTTTGCGCTGGGATCGCTCAGACGCGCGACGACGCTCGGCACGATGGTGTTTGCGTGCTGTCGCACGCCCTCCGAGCAGCCCTCGGTAACGACGCCGAGCACGGCTACCGCGGCGTGACGTTGACGCTCGTTCGCTGTATCATTGATATGACCAGCGGCGAACGCGAGAACAGTCGGCAATACGTACTTGGCCGGCACTTTGAGCGCTAAGACGTCCACGAGCTGACTCGCGTACGTCTGAATCTGCATCTCTTGCTCCTCTTCCTCCTCGAAATCATCCTCCCCCGCGAGTTCCGCCTCCTTTGGCTCCCCGCATAACGGACAGAGGACTTGAAGCATGGGTTCGATCAACTTTGACTTGATCAAAGCCTTCGGTTTGTGACGAGCCATGAAGGACAGAACGTCGAGCGCGCGTCGGCGCGCGTGCGTGCCCAGTTCTCTCTCCGCCGTGGCCACCTGAATACAAAACTGCACCACGGCCGGCACGTGACCTCCCAACGCGTTCGTTCGACTCTCCGTGAGCTCATCCAGAACCTCGAACACGATCGATGCGCTGTCTTCATCCCCGTTTAACACCGCCGTCTTGGCCGCGTCGAGGACGTGCGGGACGAGCGCCTTGATCGCGTTCACCTGTTCTGGCTCCCCCGACGAGTTCGCCACGAGCGCACCGACCGCTCGTAAAGCACTCGTTCGAACCTCATCGCACTCGTCCCTCAAAGCGTTCGCGAACAACCCCGCGAGCGTGCCAAAGTGTTCGCTCAGCGCGCTCGCGATGGTCTCCGTCAAACTCTCAAACAACCGAAACGCCAACGCCCGGTGCGCCGTCTCCGGCGAGTTCGCGCACTGTCCCATGAACTCCAACAACTCCGGCCACTCGTTCGTCGGCACGCACCACCGAGCGATCTTCGCGATGACGTCCAACAGCGCGTTTCGCGTCGACGCCTCCCGCGCGCTCATCGCCGCGTCCAACAACCCACTCCTCCCCGCCCTTCTCTCCCCCACGGACCCGCTCCGCGCGTACTCCCGCGCCCCACACCGCCGTTTAAACGTCACGCACGCCATCGTCCGCGTCGCCGCCGCGGTGGAAGACGAACCGTCACACGCGATCGCCACCAGCGCCGCCGCCCCCCCCGCGCATTTCG